TTTTGGATCAATGCCAAAAACCCTACAATGAATAGCAGGGACGAATGCCTGGAGGTCATACGCGACCTGATCCCGTACGTTCGCATCGATTTTTGATGTGGGATGGTGCAGTCGTCAACCACATGCGACTATAATCAGCTGTTCTAAACTTCCTCATTGGAGGTCACGAAAAAGCGGTGGGTTTTTCGAGAAGTTGTTGAATGTGTAATTACCAAAGAGCCTTTCGTCTTTGTGTAAGTGTTATTGAAGCGTTTGGCCTAGTAGATTGTATATCAGCATACCCATCCAGGCTCTGAAGAAGGCGATACTTTTAAAAACCTCGCGATTTCTGAACAAGAAAACGACACGTTCAAAAAGCTGTTATGAATCAGCCTGCAGTCCACCAAAGATTGACTATAACACCATAATCATTCTTTGGTACGATTTCGGCTTTGGGAAGTGCTGTAGAGCCGGGTGGCAATCGTGCCGTTCGTTGAGATAAATGTCGCCGATTGCCGTGCAGAATCCACTTCTCATCGTTCCTCCTAATTCGATAAGGAACATGGTCGTTTTTGTTGCACAGAAATAGAAGCAGACGACAATTCAAAACGGAAATTTTTTTAAATTGTGGTTTAAGCCTTTCGATGCCAATTTGTCGAGGCTTTTGTCTTTCCTATTCGATTCAAGTGAGTGAAAATTGTTCCTGTGCTTATGCGATCTGTTCTGCAATCTCTCGAACGCGTGTTTGCTTCCACTGCTGTCTTCAATTCTTCGTCGTCAAGATCACTGGGCCGACCCCTGCTTTCCATATCTTCGAGGCCGAAATCACCATGTCGGAACTTCCGCAGCCATCTTCGCAGCGTGGAATCACCAAGGTTACCTTTCCCACAAACTTCGTTAATGTTTTAGGCCGTCTCTGCTGCACTACGATCGAGTTTGAACTCATAGAAGAAAATTTGACGGGAATTCGTTTTTGACATCTAAAATTGCGAAGCTCAAAATCGGCAAAAAATGGACTTTTGACAAAACATAAAAATACGATATTGCAAGGTAGAAAAGAGGATTCTATTGTTAAAAAATAACCGGAACAATAAATATTTCAGAGCCCACTGTTTTCCTTCAAAGGGAATCCTCCAAATACCGAACACAACTCCTTCGACTTGCACTTCTTCGGTTAGGCGCACATGGTGTCCTTCTTGTATCGAAGAGAGGCGCGTAGCAGACGCGTTTCGATGTCCAGTAATAGTTGGCTGTTCCTCGGTAGGCCGCATGAAGAATGCGAAACCGCCAAAACGTTAGCTATTGTATCCTAATAAATTCTGTAATAGCAACCTCGTCTCTGCTTATTGAAGAAAAACATCGAGTTATCAACCAATGCCGAGGTTAACAGAAAGTTGGTATTGGGTGTTCCAAAACCCTCATTTGTTCTTAAACAATTTAACAAGCATCTATGAACTATTGCCATAAGTCATATATAATGCTGAGATATTTGCGAAATTCCGGACCGCAAATGCACGCGGTGGGGAACGAACACTTGCTGTTGTCCTTACCGGGGAGCACCGCACTTCACCACCACACCATCCGGGTCCTTCGTTAAGCTGAACCCAGTTAAGCTGAGGCTTAGTTATAATCACAATCTTAACCCTTTTATTTACTGCCTTTTTCTTTCTAATGGCAGGGTATGTTGCGAAATATAACTCATATATAATGCTCGTATAAAAGGGGTATAATGCCGATTTGGGCTCCCCAGATCAATCCCGTTGACGGGTGATTGCTGATGGCAAAACATCAATAGAACTAGCTGAGAGACAGGCGAAATGAAGGACCCGGATGGTGTGGTGGTGAAGTGCGCTACTCCCCGGAGAGGACGATAGCGTGTTCGTTTCTCACCGTATACACTTGCGGTCCGGAGTTTTGCAAATATCTCAGCATTATATGCGAGCTATATTTCGCAACATACTCTGCTATTAAAAAGAAAAAGGCAGTAAATAAAAGGTTTAAGATTGTGATTATTGCCATAATTGTACGGAAATGATTTAATAGCTGTTCGGAGACCTTAAAAATGAAATTTCTCGTCGTATATGATTTTTTTTTTGTGTTCAAGATATTCATGGAAGGAAGCAATCCATTGCTATCCGACTTTTTCACAAACTTTTTAAGGATCAGGTATTTTTACAAATTGTCGTGGAGTCAATCCCTTTTTTAGACCAGCCATGGATGAAAACACTGACTTGAAAAATTGGAAGTCAAAGAGAGCGACACTATGTGATCGAAATATGTACCCAATCTCAGACTCTGCGATGCTACAAGTAGAGTCGAATGCACGACTTATCCTTCAGAGACTGAAGAACGCGAGCGCTTGTCCGCTATCCTTCTTTCAACTTTGGATCAAACGTTATTTTACGCTGGAGGATGGATGATCTATAAAACAGTCATCAATCGTAAATCCTCGATTATTGGATCTCATATTCTAGCGTCTGGTTTTTATAGAGAGAAAATGAGATCTCATAAGATCCAAAGAAGCTGCGATATAGTGTCGAATATCAATGTTTTTCTTCTCCTCTACGACGTAGTTTAAGCGTATAAACTAGAGCAAATTGTTTAATTTTTATTTATTTCGCACGGTCCGTCTTCATATCTACTATGCGGATTCTGGCTCTTGTCAAACTCGATTCGTTTCCCCTCATCCACCCACGAACGTCTTCCAAATTTTTTACGTGTGGGTTCGGCCACTGTTTGAAGATGTTCACTTCATCTAGGGTGTAATAGAATTCTCGATTCTCTCTGGAGTGTTGAGGTTGCCGAGCTGGTGTGCCCCTAATTGGACTGTAGAGAGCGATTTTTTCTGGGACATGTCCGGTACCAATTTCCCTACGACGAGTGAAGAGAGGCTCGATGAGCCCGAAGCCGTATCGAGCCGGAGCCGTGCTAGCGATTGACGGCATTATTACGACTGTGCTATCCACCCTATGATCATGGCAGATACTATACAATATAAGTGAACGTACGCTCTAGTATTAGAATTGAATCGGCAATGTAACGAAAATCGTAGATACAATTGGCTAGATATGTAGCCAAGTTTTGAGCTGCTAAAACTCGTGATTCCATTTTCAGTGATTTATTAGAACGACTGCCAGATCTACCCAGTGCAATACGCTAGCAACGTGGATGGAAAGCCTCATATGCCGGCTAGCCACCGATATCCTACCAAACTTTGCAGGTTACTCTGAAATAGGCTACCGGATAGAAGTACCAGGCATGTCGCGTCTAGTGAATTTGCTTCGAAAACTTGTCACCGTGGTACACTGCAGCTTGACACATCTCTTAGTAAGAATTCAACAAGCTTGCAATGACTATTAAATAGCGATGAAAAACCAAAACTACGTTAAAATGTTAATAATTGAACAACAATTCAACTGGAACAAAAATGTTGAGCCGAATCTAACAGTAATTTATGCCTTCAATGACACCTAAGTCTTCGAAAACCAATTGCGGGTTAATCCCTAGGATTGCACAATCTATTCAACCTTTTTAAGAGTTAGGAAAAAATAACAACAACTTAATGTATAGCTTAAAAATAAAGAAACGTATTGATTGTCCACCAATATTTGTTCGATTTCATTACAGATCGATTCCTTCCTAGCGAACATTTGAGAAATTTCTTAATGGTTATTTATTTCGTTAACATTATTGCTGTCATTGTTGTTATTGTTATTGGAACGCCGACCTATCGGCGTTGAGCTATGGCATTTTTCCATACAGTAACTGCTTCCTGCTGCGTTAACTCTCCGTCTGTAACGAATAGTTAGCGGTGAAGTGGAGCGTTTCAGTTCGTGCAGAACATTAGCCACGCGAGTCTTTTAGTTGTTGTATTGGTCTACCGGCTTCAAGCTTGGATAATTAAGCCTGAAGCTCTATTGCGCCTGAAACACTGGACGTAATTGACCGAGTAGATCATAAACGTTACATTGCGAAAACTAGTGTGCGGTTGCCATACGGCTATGGTATGGACATCAAATGCTATTGCTTAGATAGATAGCGAAGTTTTCCAGTGAGAAATTCTCTATACACCCACCCGACTTTTTTTGGGAGCCATGACGAAATTTTGTCAGCTTTCTGACAAAGGGATCTTGCAATATGCAAAGGTTTAAGAGGAATCTGAAAAACGTAACGCTAAAACGTGCATAGAAAGGTAGCATCAAATAATGGGTGATCTGCTACATCTGCATTAGTAATTGGTCAATTTATCGATGCTGCTACCTCTTAACTGGACGACTTTTTGGTCTTTCTGCTTCTAAGAATTCGTGACGTTGGAATGACATAGTTGTCCTTCCTTTATCATACCAAGAAACTTCTTTCGTCAGCATTGGAAAAAGCCAGGGCCGTTCTTGAGTGCTGTCAACGTCTCTTTTGTCGTGCATGATTGTCATTCCACATCCACAACGAAGTATACGCCTGTAGCCTCTGTGCTGGTGTCCTCAGTCAGAATGCAATTTACTAAGCTTTCACGATGCAGCACTCCACCTGGTTTAATGATTTCGAAGCTGTTTAAGTGTTTCGAGATGTTTCCCTGCGTTAAAGCATTAAATGTGGCCGTGTCGTTTTTTCGGAATTCTTAAATCCTTCTGTTCCGACCACTTCCAACACACAGAACATTTTCCAGTTCTCATTCAATGCAGAAATCTCGCTCAAATGCGTTTCTAATGTGCAGCAGTCACTTTGTGAATGAATTACGTGACCTGTTATTTTTTCAAGTCCTCTTTGTTTTTTTTTCTCTTATTCTCTTTGTTTGGCCCTCGCATTGGAATACGTTCACTGTGGCTTTCGCAATTGATGTGTTCTTCGACTCTTGCGAAGTGAACCATATTGCGACTGTGAAGAGTTACTGGCACTTCCTGTTATCAGGTGATCCAAGCGAGCTGGTAGAAGATGCAACGCAGGGGGAAGTGTGACGAGTGGATGATCATTTTTCACTAGGGACCGCAGTTGGTCACAGCCCAGTAGAATAGTATGCTTCGCCTTTAATTCGTTCTTCCACAGATAACGGAAGGATTACGCTGATGAATGAAGTTCACATCTTTCTTAGGAACTGTCAGAATAACAAGTGGTTTCACTAACTTATCGTGCGTGAACAAACGCATAGGGAACGAATGATCTCCAGCGTCCCATGTTTTGAGCGAGACTTTATTCAGCGGCTTTTCTCGTGCTTTCTCAAATCCGAATGTACATAGGCGTAGTCTAGTTTCTACTATGATAGGAAGATCAATTTCTGCACCCGATATTGCATCGACGAAAGAGAGTTCGGCACCCGTATTCAGCAAATTTGCGACTTTTTGAAATGTTTTTGTAGTTGTGTTCACCACTGTAATTTCTCTGGTGGGGAATACGGTGGTTTGCTGACTTTGTCGATGCGGACCTTCATGCTGAATTTCTACGACAATGGTCTCCTGTCTTGCAGGCCCTTCTTGTTCTTGATTGACGTAGTTGATTGTCGACGTCGATTTGTGCCTCTTAGTCTCCTGAGCGCTATATTTCCTGTCTTTAATGACCTTTTGCTGTTTGGTTCGCTTTTCGAACCGTTCTGGTAGCTTTTTTCCTTCGACGTTGATTGGAGGCAATATGAAGTGTGGTACCGTTTCCAGCATTTGAAGCATGATGACTCCTTGCAATTAGTTGATTCATTGTATGGGAATGCACAAGTGGCGCACAATTTGTTAGTTTGGAGGTATTGTGAGTGCTCAAGCGGCGTCTTGTGGATGTCGCAATTAAACGCTTTGTGATCGGTTTTACAATACATGCAGAAGTATGTCTTTTCGAAGATCCACGATCTGCTCTTGTTTTCCTGCATGCTGACAGCTTTGTTAACGTGTACTGCCATACTTTTTCTTCCTTGGAGACAACTTCTTCGGTAAACTGTAGGAGTTGCTCCATCTGGAAGGGTTTCTCCATCGCGACGTCATATTTCTTTTCGATGACTTTTCGCTGTATGTTATTGTAAAAATAGCCAATATTTTCTTAAATTGATTGTTCACATTTTCAACTTCTGCCTTTAACTGTGTTACCATTAACTGCAAATGCCCGAATAGTTTTCGTTGATCGTGCACCGTGGTTGAACGAAGGTGGCAATTGTCAAGTTTGTCCAGGAGTGTTACTATGAGTTTTTCCTAGTCTGCATACTTTTAGTGAGAAATTCAACCGCTTTAGCATAGTCCTCCTTAGTGAGTTGAAATTTCTTCACCGCATCGAGTGCTTCCCTTGTAGTGAATTAAGCAAGTAATTGAATTTACATAATTCTGATATGTTCTAGGAATGTATGTTTGTTTTAATAATTCCCAGAAATTACCCCATTCCCAAATGTTACCACTGAAAGTTGGTATCGGGAGAATGGGTAGTTCGACACGTTTTGCTGTAGCTATTGTTCGGAGAAGTTCGACTGCTTGGATGTCTGTTTGTGCCTTGTTGTAGCGCCTTGTTTTCTTTGTGAAGTACTAGCAAACTCAAAGCTTTTATACGACTTCTGAATTTCACAAAGTAGTCCTGTGCTACATCGGTGATTTCCTCTGCTTTGCAGCAATGTGTTTCGCTGTCAAAGCGAAAAAAGATTTCGCGGATATGAATGCGTCGTTTTCTTGTTCAGCAATCGCGAAGTTTTTAAACAGCATACATTTACTTCCATAAAAAAACACAATACAATACAACGCTAGCTGACGTTTCGGCAGTATCGCCTTCTTCAGAGTCTGGGAGGGTATACTGATATACAATCTACTAGGCCAAACGCTTCAATAGCACTTACAAAATGACGAAGGAGTCTTTGGTAATTACATGATCAACAACTTCTCGAAAAAACCCACCGCTTTTTCGTGACTTCCAATGAGGAAGCTTAGAACAACTGATTTAGTCGCATATGGTTGATGACTGCACCATCCCATATCAGAAATTGATGCGAACATACGGGGTCACGTCGCGTTTGACCTCTGGTCATTCCTCCCTGCTCTTCATTTTAGGGTTTCTGGCGTTTATCTGAAAAGCCTCGAAAAGTTTTCGCGCTGGTGTTTTAGTCTCCTGTGCAAGGATATTGACTTTTACTTCAAAATCGTCTCCGCTATGCTTTTGTATCCTATGCGTGCCTAGTGGGGTGCTTCGTCTTAGTTTTCGTTTGCCATCTAGGTGTTCTTTTATGCGGATACACAAAGGTCTGCCCGTTTCGCCAATATATTCATCTCCGCAATTATTACAAGAGATCAGGTATATCGTACCTGAACTCATGCAATCACCGTCCCTGCCGTGAGGGCAAATTACGCAATTTGTCGTTTCACATAGACGGTCATACAGGCGGTTGCGAACTAATTGGCGACGTAGAGTAGCCGGTGGTATTTCAACTATCGCTACCGATTCCTCTAGACCTGCCCTTCTTAAGCATCGTTTTGTAGCTATGCTTACTTCATCGCTTATAAAAGGCAACATAAATGGGCTTTCTTTTGGCCAAGTGTTTCGCGTTGTTTTCGGTACTATTTTCTCATGTAACTGCTAGACGATAGGTTTATTTGAACGTTTCAAAAGGGAACCCAGTTTTTTCTCGGTTTCTCCCGGGTGAACTTTATGTACTCAGACTGCTCGTTTAATAATTCAAAGCATTTCTCCATCACCTCCTGCGTAGAGGAGACGAGAGAACATTCATCTACATATCTGCAGTAGAGTAGTTTCCGGTGATCGAGAACAGAGACCTCTATCTTAGACATAGAAAAAATGGCAAGGCTCGGTGTCGACAAGTCGACCAATAAACATTATCTAGTAGAAAATAATATCCTCTATAGTAACTTTATTCTATATATCTTCTGG